CAGCCGTGGTCAGTCTTGTTCTCTTTCTCTCTCTCCCGTCGACCTGTGCGCATGCATATGGCTTCTGTACCGCGTTCTTCTTTGCTGAATGCTCTGCTCTTAACTTGTGATCGGTGGTGGCGGAGTCTCAAGTCGGAGGTAATCCCACATCAAGTGCGAGAGCGGTCTAGCTCCGTACTTCTGGGTGAGGAAGATCGAATTGGTTCCTGCTTTGAAGAGCGAACCGGGGATTTTGACATGGAACTCACCATACTGCCCATGAGCGCTAGCGCGTGCCATGGCGTTGTCGTTTGCTGTAGCCTGCGGAAAGTCGTACTCAGTGTCGACCAATGGATCTGACGTCACGTTGTTCACTCTGAGAAGAACGGACGCATTGTGAGATGCCGCCAAAGCAGCACGGAACATGTACACCGCCTTCGGGTTGGGTGTAACCCAGATGTCAAAATTGATTCGCCACGTGGACTGAGCATACTTTACCGGCGAACCTTCGGGCATAAACATAATCGGCTGAACATACCACCAGTCCTTAGAATAGTCGTGGACACCGACGATGTAAGTCAGCTGGTCCCCTGTGGAATAGTTAAAGGTCTCTGCGTATCGCTCCCAGGCACCGTAGTTTCTGAATCGATTCTCTCCTACTGGGGGATAAGGGTATTGGCTGTCTGGGTTGAGCACAGGGACAAAGAATTCTGCGGCCGACCGGTCAGGAATCCCAATTTCCCACAATGTCGGTCCTGATCGAGGAGGGTGAAAAAACAAAGTTTCCAGCAGTGCCGCTCTGCCAGCTTGCACGGTTATCACTTGCTCACTCACATACTGTCCGTACACGCCAGGGATATAAGCATGTATACGATAAGCACCTGGTCGAACATTCTTGACACGGAACGCACCCCTCTCACCGGCCCTCACCCAGTATTGGTACCTGCAGCCATTTCATGTACACACACACACACACACACGTCTCTTATACACATCTAGATGTGTTTCTGCAGACTGTTGAGGGTTCAGCCTCCTGATGAGTCGGTGAAACTCCGACGAAACAGTTTGCCACAGCCCCTCGTTTGTTGTCCTCTTCTCCCCTGTCTCTTATACACATCTAGATGTGTATAAGAGACAGGGCTATGACAGATTAGTTTCACAGACTTACGGCGGGTCTTGTGAAGGGTTCCAACTAGACAGTCTGCAGGATTGCGGAGTTGGTGGGAGGAAAGC